GCGCCGCCCGAAGCCCGCCTCCGGCTGGAAGCTGCTCTCTCGCCTCTGGCCGCCGGCGTAGTACCCGGGCGAGTGGTCGCTGGGTAGGTAATCGCCCTGTGAATATTCCTCGCACGGAGGGAACTTGGGGTCGACATAGTTTGAGTTGATCAAAAAGGAACTCATAGCCATTAATTTCTGGGAATTGCCCACAAAATATACTAAAATTTATTCCGACCCCTGACTCGTTTTCCTGTTCCGAAAGCCCTCCTACTTACTGTCAAGTGAACAAAGTTAGGGGCCACGTGATCCTCCGAGCCAATAGCCACCCCGCCTGCGATTCCCGGATAAGGAAATCTGCTCACCCGGACCCTACTCCAGCCAAAGAGGTTTATTTCCCCTTCTTCGCTTCCCCCTCCCCACCCAGCCAACACCGGGATTTACATAGGGCTCCAGCGGGGCGACCCCCTCCTCGCCGCGCTCTCCGACATCCGAGAGGCGCTGAGCGCCGGAGAGCGCAAGGGCGAGCAGGAGTGGACCGAAGGCCTGGTGGCGCGCTGGGCGCAGCACGATCCCGCATCCCCTCGAAGTTGGGGTTCCCGATGTAGCCCTTGCTGTCCTGCCTCACCTCTGCCCGGCATTCTGTGCCTTCCAAAGGGCTCCAGCTCCTCCCCAGGGCGAGAGGGAGCCCGTGCACCCGGCGTCCGTGTGGGGAGTTCAGTGGCTGGCGGGCTGGGGGCTCCTCCTCGAAATGGGGAGCTCACTGGGGGCGAGGGGCGCTGAGCTTGGGGCTTTTCTCTGCAGCCAGATGAGGAGGGGTAGGGGTGAGCGAGGAGGCGTGGGGAGCTGGAGGGCGGGTGCGCGGAGGGACTTGTCAGAGATGAATGGAACCGCTAGCGGATCGATAGGAAATGCATGCACTAATTCGGGGAGACCTCGCCTTCCAAATCGCATTCAGCTGCACTGTTAGCTTGCCCGTGTCAGTCGGTCCGTCTGTCCCCCTGCTCCTAGCCACTCCTCCAGCCCAAGCCCGGAGAAACGACTTGGTTTCCCACTTTGAAGATGAGCGCTGCAGTCAAAAACCTGCAACTTGTGAGAGCAAATTGAATGACAACTTGCTAATTCCAGAACCAACCGAGCAATACTAACTGTGGCGCCGAGTCCTTCTAATTGCCGCTAATCTGCAGCCTCCGAAGCGAAGAGAATCCCTACATCCTAGTGGTGCTGGGGACAGAGGCCCTTGCACCTACCCCCACCCCCCCACACAGTAACACCCCCTGTCAATCGTGTATTTCCAAGGCATCTTGTTCTGAACCCCAAAGGAAAGTCGACCTCAGCATTCGTTTAAAAGCGAATTTCCTTTGCCCTGGCACACTGCAGAAAACAGTCTTAAAAAAAAAAAAGTTCCAACAAAGCCCCCTCCAGCCCAGAGTAGAAAATAGGTGGGCTTGTGACAAGAGGATAAATTAAAAACATCAGCAGCAATAACTTCTTAAATCAAGTGAAAAAGGATCAAAGTTCGCAGGGGCAGGCAGGAGCTGATTCAGGTAGAGGATCCCTCCATCTCTACCCAGTGGAAGGAGGAAAAGAGGAAGAAAGAAAAAAGGAAGGAGTCTTCTCGTGGTCAGTCACTGAATGGTCCTCATTTAGAAAAATAATATATATATTTTTTTTCTTTCTGGAAAAAAATGAGCGGAGTGTTTATGTCAACTACATATTCCCCTAGATACGAATTTGTGACCATAAAATTCCTTACACAAATTCGGACCTACAGGGTATATACAGAAGACAGACAGATCTTCTTGGCCCAGAAATTTTCCAGTTCTATTTTTCTGCGCGTTCTTCTTTTAGGGGTGTGGTCGAAGTGCCTTCATTTTATTTCGTTTTGCGCTAGTTTTTGAGCTCTGGGAGCTGAGCAAGGCTCTGAGTCCATTCAGAGATCACAAGGATTTTCAACTCTCAGAGAGAAATAGGAAAGCAGACCGTCCGCAGAGAGACGCGAACCTCTCGGCCGCGGGGAAGCTCTCGGTGGCGCATGAATTATGAGATGTAAACATTAGCTACGCACAAAAGGAGGAAGGGTCATCCCGAGGCTGCGGAGCAGTCAGAATCAGGCCCTTGTGGGTGCCCTCGCGTCCCTCCCCTCCCCCTAGGGCTGTATTTTTTTTTTTTTAAAGAAAAAAACAAAACCCTAATGGGCTCCTCCAGCGCCCTTCACAGCCTTAGTTTTCGGATCAAACGAATATCTAGATATTTTCCAAAGCGCTTCTCAGCAAAGGGAGGAGGGAGAGGCGGCTGGGTGTGAAGCGGGTGTAATAAAAGTCCTTTTGGAAAAAGTCACTGGTAAAAAAGAGAGAGAAACAGCTGTAAAGAAAAATGCTGGGAGACCAAGCAGATGGGGCCCCGGATATTTAACGACGGGCAATTCCGTTTACAACCTGAGAAAAGATCAAAGGCGTTTCATTTCCGAATGAAGGGCAATGAGGAACCATAAAAGATGCTGCCAGATGATGTGTAGGCCCATCCCGCCTCCCAAGCCCCTGGGGGCCGGAATGGGGCAGATGATCCCCTAGAGGTGTTTGGAAGGACCCTGACCCCCACCCAGCTCCAGGTGGGTCCCTTCTCTCTGTCTACATCACTGGCCCAGCCACCTGCTTGGGCTGATGGCAGTAGGGCCCAAAAGGGGGGCTGGGGCTTCTGAATCCACTTCCTGAGGCTCCCAGGAAGGGCTGAATTTACTTCCCTGGGACACTGGGGATTGGGCTGGACAGAATTAAAGCTTAGACTCTGAACGCTGTGACCCCATGGGGAGCTGCGTCCCCAGGAGCCGCTCCCCACCCAGACCCCTTGCCCATCCTTAGGGTTTGAGAGCTACATCCCTACCAGAGCAACTCAGAATACCATCAAATTTATGAACAAATACAGCAGTGAACCAGAATTACCCTTTAGCCACCACACCCCAGAGACCTCTGCCCATCTCTACACCCAAGACTCTCGCCAATGGGTAGGGAGAGCTCCCGGCTGCTGGCACCTAGATCCAGAGATCTTCTGGGGGGTTGTTTGTTTTGTTTTGTTTTTTAGATTTTTTAAAATATCCCAAATCTATTCATTGCCAGTGATGACCTCTGGGCCTAGTTTTTAATACCACCACTCTCCCAGGTAGGCCAGATCTAGTTGAGGGGACCTGGAGGGGACCCCCCAAATGATTACACTGCATTGCAATCTGTGCCAAGAGAGGGTCCAATAGGTAATCTTACACCCCATCTGGACACCCAGGGAGATAGGAGTCTGGCCCAGGTCCCCCAACACCAACCAAAGACCCTTAGAAGTCTTCTCCAAAGCCACTTGGGGCCTCCAGGACCCAGGCCAATGGCTCAGGCCCCTCCCCCATCCCATACCTCCAGTCCTGCCCGCTCCTGGAGGCCCATCCGCCCCAAAGGTGGTTCAGCAGTGTGGGAGGGCCGCGGGGCTGGCCGCAGGGCCTCTCTGCTGCTCTGCTCCGCGCAGGACGTGGCCCAGGTGCCCGCAGCACCCCAAGAGAGGTTCATGGGGTGCAGAGCCACCGCAAGGTTGAGCACGGTTGATCCTGAGCGCAAAGATTTTCTTCTCTGCGCGCTGGGACCGGCCACCTGCTCTCCCCACCAGAACACAGCACCCAGCCCAGTCCACCCCGGCTCCAGCAGGGTCAGCCGCCAGGGGAGCAGGGCAAGGTTTATCAGGGATTCCCAGGACGGGTTCACCGGAGAAGGAGGAGGTGGAGGAGGCTGCCTTCCCGGTCCACACCCGGAATACCAAGAGCAATAGCATAATAGGAAGAAAAGCTGGGGCTCCGCGCTCCGAGGCACCTCTCCAGCGCTCGCGGGACGTTTGGCGACTTCCCGGCCCCGCCGCTTTCTCCAGGCTGCCACAGGTTGCCAGCATGACCTCACGCTGTTCAGACCCCCACCACGCCACCCCGGGTTCGCCTAGGCCCCAAAGAATCATCCACCTTTTGTGGACGCGGAAAAAGGCACGCAGCGAGCGGGGGAAAGCAAAGGGCCGAGGGACGCCGGGCTCAGTCGGCCCGCGCCCTGGCGCGGCGCGGAGGACCGGGAGCCCGGAGCAGAGCGGGCGCGCGTACTCACCGGACCGCTCCCAGCGCCCTCCCGGCCGGCCGGGTGACCCGCTGGGCCCCGCTGGACAACGGCTGAGCTCGCTCCAGTCCACTATTGTGAGTCCGGAAAACCAAACCGCGGCTGCGGGCAGAGGAGTCCCTGGCCCCCTCCGAGGCCGGAACAAGACTTTTTTTTCCCTTCTTTTTTAGTGTGTTTTTGTTTTTGAAGCGCAAGTTTTCGTATTAATCTCATACTTTGGCAGTCTTTGTTAAACAGCTAGGCGCGTCACGAGGCTCTCGAACATTTTAATAATTTTTAGACGCCGTGACCTGCGGTTCACCCCTCTCCCGGCCTCCCCCACGAGCAGGCGGTGGCTCTAATATGCTGGCGCGGTTTGCTCGGTCATATTGAATTTTGCGCAGGTCATTACTTGGGAGAAAAATGGCAGAGCAGGAATTTGATTCTGTTCATCCTCTCCAGCTCGACTTTTCCCCAGAACCTTCTCACCCAACCCCCCCAAAAAGTCCCTTTAGGGTAGGGTTCAGGCTGCCCCGCCCCTGCTTTGATTTTCTATCATCCCTGTAATTTTGTCAGGAAAGAGTGAGATTCCATGGGGAACCCTTTGGAGGCCTGGGTAGGAGGCTGGCACTCAGAAAACTGCAAAGCTGGTGGGCATGGAGGCACCTGAACCAGAGAGCAGGCCTAGGCCAGAGGCCCTGTCCCGCTACATCCTGCACTGGCTGGGCCTGTCCCCGACCCCATCCCACACTCTGTCACTTTATTTGCTTCCCCGAGTCCCAGAGATACCCCCACTTCTGTCCAAACCTTGGGAGCTCCAGCGCCTCAAAAATAACTTCTCCATCTCTGGCTGAGGAGAGTTGGGTCCACAGCCAGCACATTTGGGAAAGATAGAGAGAACCCTAGGATAGGTGCTGCCTTCACCGATCAAAGCTAGGGACCTGGGGACTTGGCTTTCAGATCGGGCTTTTGCCCTTTTAAAAACGGAACCAGACAAAGGGGTTTTTAAAAGAAACTATTCTCCTATACCCGGCAACTGCTTTGCCTACCCCCATCGCAAGGAGGTTCCAGAGCAAATCGGCAGGGCTGGAAAATATTTTCTAGGTTTATTGTTCCAGGATTAGAACCTGGTGAACCCCTACGGCATATTTTTTCCTTCCTCCAGTCCCCAAAGGACTGAGGAGCTAGGTCAGGGGACACCCCTTCTACCTAGCTCAAGGCTCAGGTCAAGGAGGGGGTGACAGGGTGATAGCCTGGGGTCAGGAAAGTGCTTCACAAGCCACAGTTTGAGGGGACCCTAGGCTCCTGCAGTCTATTCCACAGAGTTCCAAATTTACCATTCTGTCCTAGAATAAAGGACAAGAGACCAAGGGGGACAGAACGAGATGGCTCCTCCAGTTCAAGCTTTGACCTCTGCATCTTCAGCACCCCAGGAATCCCTCCTTGGCCTGACACCCCTGAGAAGCTCCCTCGAGGGCTTTTGAAAGTGAAGATAGAGACCTGCACCCAGTTGGGTTAGCAAAAAAAGTGGGGGGTCAAATTGACTTGAAATTTGTTATTAAACCTTTTTTTGTTCTGGCCATGTTTCCAAAGGCATCTTTCCTGGGGTTATCTCCATTCTGCAAGGACAAACACCCACAGGGCGCCTCCTCTGTGAAGTGTTTGGAATAAGACCATAATGACATTTCATAATGCAACAGTCATTTAAAGATCCAAAATAGGCGCATGCCCTGGTGTTGTAATTACAGTCTCTCTGAGCGGTTTACTTATGAGTAGAGCTTAATGTATGGACTAGAGGTTCATTTCAGGACGCCTGCTTCAGCTCCAGTTAAAAAGATCTCTCTGAGACTATTCAGTATTTTTCCTTTGCGCTTCCTCTCCCTCTTCCAAATAGGAAGACAGGGAGCCAAGATTTACACCCAAGAGGAGTTGGGGGGGGACCCACAAGCTAACCATTTTCCAATACCCTAGTTTTTAAAACCAGGCAATGGAACATAAATGAGAGTTTAAGAAGCTTCTTGCGCTGGTTCATGGCCTTGAACTCCAGCCCCTGGAGACAGGCTGGAGAGTGGGGGGGGTCCCTAAAAACAGTCCGACCCCAGGTTTGGCCCCTTTAGGGCAAGCAGGTTGGGCAGCAAGCCTTCACCTTGGAAGCTTTCTTTGGCCCTGCTCAATGTCCTGCAAGGGCGTGTGGGTAATTGGATTTTGAAAATGTGTGCGGCTGGGTAAGTTTTAATTAAATTTTATATGGTGACTCAAAGGTTATCTTTGGGAGAGAAAATTGGGTAGAGGATTCGCCACGCCCCAAGCAAGTGCTGTCTTTTGCGCAGCTCTCGGGCCACCACCACTGATTTTTTGTTGTTGTTGTTTGTCTTTTTTTTTTTTTTTCCAGAAGCCTTGCGTCCTTCCTCAGTTTCTCCTTTCCCAGCCGTCGGCCTCCCTCTTGCCACCCTCCCCCTCCTATGGCGCACTCCCCGCCTCACCGCGCGCAGCGCATCTCCGCTGCTTCTCTGGGCGCACGGCCCCCGCCCCTCGAGCACCCCGCCCCCGCCGCTAGACGCCTCCAGTCCCTCACTCACGCACGC